AGTAGTATATAATATATATATATATATATATTATATATATAATACTACTAACAACTAATATATATATATATATATATATATATATATATATATATATATATATATATATATATGTATACATATCTTTGTATTTATGCTAATATATATTACTCGATCTTCTCATTTCATTTGAATAATTAATCACATGTAATCCCTTTTGCCAGACACGATGCAGTCATTTCAAAATGAGCCAAACGGAATGACTAGAACGACACTGGGAATATCTCTTCTATCTCTTCTCCATAATGAAGCTCCAGAATTGTGTAATGGAGCGAACGTTAGGAAAAAACGACAGCACCGCGTGCATTCCCTCGCTGTCTCTCACCACGTGTTGACCACCGGCGGTGTTTATACCTTTACAGCAGGCCAATTACGCGACTTTATAACGCTCTCAGATGCATTACGACAACACTAAACCCATTCACGAGATGCGGCTAAAATTTAATTAAAATAATTTATGATCTACGCCGCGCAAGCATCCAGCGGATCGCATCAGACACGCCCGCGTTCTTGCGTTTTTCCTATAGGAGAATAATGATAATAAATTCGCGGGTCGGTCTTTTATAACGTGACATGTGGCCATTCAGCCAGGGGAGGCAATTCGCTCTAGTGTGGGCCAGTAAAATCTATCTAAGCTGATGACCCAAAATGGAATGTAGGGGGGGCCTACAACGAAAACTATGAATGAGACTATTGCAGGTACATTCCAAACGCACCGACGCAAACACAGCACGAGCACACGTGCACGCAAACATATATGATCATAATCACAGATAATAACTTTAGATGAGAATATGGATACAACCAGTAGATTTCATGCAGTTTCAGTAGAAATTTTAGAAAATGTTTAAATTATTGACAGTTACAAATTTAAATCTAGCATTTAAGACTAGCATTTAAATCTAGAATTTTTTTAAACAAAGCGCATTCCGAAAAATGCAAACCTTTTATATACGTCTGACAACAGATATTACTTGGCCACACAATTATTATTACACATGCAAGCAGTATAAATGGCAAGAAAGGAAGCATTCAATCACAAAATCTGCCGTCTCTAACAACGTGATTTCTAACTGTGGAAGCACAATCCTCCGACATTTACAAATTAATTCACTTTGTTAAAGCTACGACAATGTGCCCGACGAATCCTTTAATTTGCTAGATGAAACACGGATATTGCTCGCTAAATTGAAAAGTTAAGTTTTAACACGGAGATGAATTTATATATTTTTTAAATGTTTCGTGAATTTTTATATAATTAATTAAATACATGGAAGCACCTTGAGTTACATTTTGATTGGAAACTATGGCCAGAATTTCCTGGCAATTTGACTATTAATGGCGGTTGGGTTTATACCTAGACTGACACATAGTTTTAGATATTAATTAGCTTATACAATTCATTAGAAGATTAAAGCCAAACAATTGACAAGATTATATTTTTCATCGTTAATTAGTAGCTGATCGCTGACACTGACACACCCTATAAAATACCTAGATGAGAACACCATAAATCAACAACGTTTTTGTCCGAATTATTGCTGCAAAACGTATGTGTTCACAGAAATTCCTTCCAGTGCTATCTGTTTTCTATTTCTATGTTCCATATTTTAATGCTCTGATTCTCTCATATACATAATATATATATATACATATATATATATATATATATATATTATGTATATATATATTTATTTATATAAATTTATATTTATAATTAAATACAAACGCTATATCATAAAGATACGCTACAACTTAGCATGGCAGTTTTATTTTGCCCTGTTGGCAGCACTTAGAAGCAGCTGTTTACTACAGCCGGCCTGAAGGTTAATCGGCAGTCCACAGACTCACACCGCCGCAGCGGCATCTGGAATGCACTGACTACCAGACCGAACAGTAAGCCTACTACCACTACGACCAGGAGCACGATTACCACCACCAAACCACGTCAGTCCGCTCAACCAAACAGCAGTCATGTATCTAACGGTGACCTATCTTCATGTATTTTTCACTAAATATGATAATGACTTTCAAAGACTTCAAGGATACACCAGGAATCCACACTCCCAGCCCATGATTGCTGTTGCGTCCTGGTCTGATACCGAGTGAAATCAATCGCAATAAATCGGTCCAATTTATTGGCAAATGCTTACATGTACACCTTGCAGACACCCACCAACTTTTTATTTTGTTAAATGATAATTTTTACTATACTGGCATCTTAATACTGTATATGAAAACACATAGATGAGTGCAAAACCCACAGAATTAGCTGTTATAAACGGATTTAAATATAAGTTCCAATAGCACTGTTATGAATAAAGTGAATGCTGAATTTCCTGCATAAAAATTAATCTAATATTCTAGCCTCTGGTCTGACATGCAAACCGACTATATTACGTTTACATTACAATGGAGTTAGCAAGGATGTTACCAAGCCAGATGCAATAGCATGTCCCAGTGTTACCTTTAACATTATCACTCAGGTTAAGCTGAAGTTTCACAAAAATAAATCTATTATTTCACGACCTTGAGAAAATGCTATTAATTATTCACGATGCGTTCCCAGCCTGCTGACACTAGTAAAAGATATGTCTGAGGATAAGAAACATTTCAGATTTTTTGACATCCGTATTTTTAATTTTCAATATCTATATCATTCTCATATCTAGCAGTGTACGAATACCGAACACTTTTACTTCATAAATTATATTATTTCAATTTAGTTTATGGTTATTGTAAGGGGAAAGTGCATACTACTATAACATAAATGCATGGCAGACGTTGATAGTACTTTTAAGGCATTGTGCCGCCATCTGGTGGGCAAACGTGTGAAAAAAGCTGTGCGAATCACTTTGGAGAATATTTCTTCTAAGATAGCGCCTATCAATATGATCCATCGCTGCGTAAGACTGCCACAGTACGATCTCAGCACAAAAGCACAAAAGCACAAAGCAGATGAAACAAGGTAGCATTTTGTAATTTACGTATTTAAACGCTTAATGTGTTGTAACAAAGATAAACATTTGTTGTTAATATAGGTCTAATGTTGAATAGGCACCAAGGACATGGATTTTAATGGAAACTTAGCAAACAACACACACACATACTTAGCATTTGAAATTAACTGATTTTTCTGATTTTTGTGTTGCACTTTTTCATAGTCTTATCGATTTTTGCTATCAGTCACAAAAAATATACATACGGAAATATTACACGTACCTGGGTCAGCAAGTCCAGTTGTTTCAAGCAGAATGTAATCAAACTTTCCCTTCTTTGTCATCAGATTTTCAATAGCTTTGATACCATTATCTCTGAAACGTAGCATAAAAATAAATCATAATGTGAATATGAAACTATAGGGACCATAGATATCTGTAATGGTTTATAATGTGTTTGAACTAAATATTTAAATAAACCTGAGTATAGCAGCAGACTCAATCATCTGAATTAGGTTGATAGACTTGCCACATAATACGCACGGGTTCAAATGTTATCACAGCACTGACCACCCTATCTTCTTATCATGATGCCTCAAAAAATTGTATGGTGACCTACATGGCTGCCCTAACTGGCTTCATAAATCGATTTTCCATCAATGTGAACAGCTGAGAATTGTGGTTTTACACATGCATATTTGATTATGCACCCCTCCAACTTACTTTAAAGCCATAAAAAATGTATTAACCCCAACACCCTACTTGCTTGACCATAAAAAAGTTAGCCATGTATACACCAACTAATCTGTTAACAGTAAATCATAAAATGTTATTTTTTTAAAGAACGAAATTGCACATGAATTGCCTTTCACAGCCCAACTTACTTTACTGAACAACACAGGCACCCATTTCGGAGTTCTAGCCATTCTTCAAATAATTCTCCTTCTTGTCCAATTGCCATAGACTTTTCAACAGTGCTTCCTTCTCCAAACTCATTCAGTATCACTGCAATGCGCTTGTTGTGCTGTTCTGTTAGGATATAGTTCAAAAGAGTAGTCTTCCCGGCTCCTTCACGGAAAAATAAAACATGCATATAAAACACGACATGCAAGTCAAGATTACTTGTACGTAGTTGCAAGATTATTATACATGGCGTTTAGAAGCAGAAAGTATTCTCTGCTAGGATGGATACATAGTAATATGTAGTTAAATTTGCACAAAAAGCAAAGAAAATGGCTACTATTAACAATTTATTCACATCTAATAAAAGTAACAGTGAATGCTCAAAATGTTTTAATTTTTAATTTGATCAGACTAGATAAGGAGTATAACGATTCCTTGTCTTTATTCAACAACAATTAGTGGGAGGTTCACACTGTTAAAATTATAGATAATGAAATAGTTTTACTGCATTAGTACATGTCTGTAAGCTTTTTTAAGCATGACCAGACAATTGTATTAACACAGGAGCGCGGCAAGTAATTATCCTTATTAGATTCCCGACATTCCTTCTAAGGGCCATACCCAGTTGTCCAGTGATAATGGTCACAGGAATTCGTTGGAAATTTGCCTCTACCAACTGTGGAACACCCTCATCATCAGAGTCTGACATCGTTTCACGGCTGTTTTACATGAAATTAAACAGATCAATTAATTATTTCATATCTTGATTCGTAAAATATAAATGTTGTAATGATGATAATAATAATGATAATAATAATAATATTACTATTATTTTTATTGACAGAATACAAGCAATTCTGGATAGCTCTCCCAGTCACCAGGTGGCCTGCTTATGCTGCGTTTACACTATCGATTTTTGTCAGCAAATCGTACCGATTTCAAGTGCATTCCAACACAATCGGCTGAAATTCGATTGTATTGGAGTCGGAGTCGGGCCGAGTTGGTGTTCTATTTCTCCAACTCGGCTACTTGACTCCGACTCCGACTCCAACACAATCGAATTTCTTGGAATGCACTTTGGTCAAGTCGGGGGAAAGTTGGAATGCACTTGAAATCGGGACGATTTGCTGATAAAAAATCTATATTGTAAACGCAGCTTTACCTTGGGATAGACACCCAACCTGCTTCCATAACCCCTGTCAACAACCAAACTTTTAATTAAGCTGCTGGATCTCGAGTGCAGATAAGAGACGGTCATTATTGCCTCGATACAAAGCCAGCAAAAAGCAGGCAGTTTAACTGCTGAGTGAGGCCACTAGGACTACAAGGTATTTAACACTGTATGCAGTTAGAACACTGTCTGAAGAACTGAACATTGCTGAATGTTGACAGTACTGACACACAATTTTTGAGCCTCATCCCTTGTGCCAGTAGTTATACTACATATTTTGTGGCCCCTATCCAATGAAGTTTGCATTATAGTATGCTCTTATCTATATGCATGCTTCTGTGTTTGGTCACAGATAACCAAATATCTTGTCAACACTCCAAAGAAGATGGTTAAATATCTATATTCGATGTCATCTGCCTTGTTAGCACCTGTAGATATATCTGTATCATTCATACAAAATGTGTATGACAATGAGAATTATCACTGCCCAAGTGTATTACAATCTCAGAGGCAAAATTTACATCACGATTAATACTGGCAAAGAGCCCAATTTACACACAAATTTTTATGGCAGTGGCTACGAGTACGGTAGCCGTATCTTAATGTCTCGAGGCTACGGGTACGGGAGTCCATTCGCTTTCATTTAACGAGACAAAGATGGCGGCGGTGGCGCTAGATTTCGAAATAACGCCTTGGGAAATAAATTCACGATTTGAGAGTTTAGATGAGCTAGAACCCTAACCCTAACCCTAAACCTAACCCTAATCATAACCCTAATCCTAACCCTAACCCTAACACAAAAAAGGGGCTTGAACGACCGACGGCTACCGTACCTCCAGCCACTGCGAATTTTTATGCTCAACTGAGCCATGGGCATGGCATGATAAGGGATTTATGCATAGTAGCTCTAGAACAATAGCCCTTCGCTCCGCCACAGGCCGGAGCGAAGGGCTATAGTTCTAGAGCTTAATGCAGAGAAGTACTCAATGTAGAGACCCATGGCATGTTTTCCCCTTCACTGAAGGCTTCAGAAACAGGGTGTTAATTCACAGTGATCAACGAGAAAGGTGGACACCGAGGCTCTTTTGCTGGTGGAATAACTTTCTTGATATGAATTTTACGTCTCATTCACTAGATAGGCGTCTGATATTATTATTAATATTGACTTCAGCCAAACGTAGCGTGTTGTCACTGTCACTGTCAGTGTCACAGTGTCACCAGTGTCACTGTCGCGTCCGTACACCGTACAATCTAATATCTATATCAAATAGCGCCAACTCGACACCACATGCCAATCGTTAGCCTTATAAATCCAGGCTAAGTAATGTATACTATATTATATACAACGCATGCAATACACTGCCTATCGGCGAATAATATTTACTAGGTTATTTGCCAGCTATATTCAGGGCGCAGACATCTTGCATTCGCCCTCTGCTGACGAACAGACGAACCCCACAGGCACTGTTTAATAATCAATGTTTCGTTAGCCCATGCACCGTTAGCGTATTTTACTATTACACCATTGTAAAGAAATTTATTAGCGTGTTTTCTGTAATAAATTTGAATAAAATAATTAACACAACTAAAATATAACCAGGGAATATAACCATAGTCTAGAAATAACGCATGTGGCGTGGAATGAAATTTCATTCGGTAGCCGATAGCTGGCGCTAGGGTCGCGATTAGAGCGCGGTTAGTTAGTTGTTTATGTAAACAGTTCCTAGGTTTATTATCCTCTAACTACATTGAATGTTTAAATAGTATACCTAAATTATGTTAAAGAACCAAGTGTTGTAGGTGCAATATTGCAATCATGTTTGACGTTGCCTTGGGCAGTGCGTGCAGTGATATATCTGTCTCTACTTCATTTGATGATGCGCATCCCCCAGAAAACATCATCGATGGGTTAGATAAAATTTGAGATAGATGTTATTTTTTCCACAGCTTTTGGCACAAATTACTTTCTCACTTCTCACTACGTGAAACAGTCGTAGAGCCTGGTCGGACTAGATATAATTATATGTTATATATGACTAGTATTACCATGACTCATGAGTGGCAGTGGTAAATAATGACAATGTCAATGTCAATGTCAAATGAATAATTTGTCATTATCATATGCACCCTCACTGGTATTACTATTAGTTACAGTATTAGTATTAAGGCCAAGACACACTGCAGCGACAGCGACCGACCGTAACGACAAACGACTTTTCAGAAAATTAGAAGCTATTGTTTCCTATGAGTATGATGAGCCATTGCACACACACGCAACAACGACCGGCGACAACCTCGACGACAAAAATATTTAGTAACGTTTGTATTCTCCAGCGACAGTCGCCAGCGACACTTTACAAATCGCCAATCGCAGCCGTTTCCATCGGCACGTGACATTACGATTAAGTCATAAATAACCCATAACAGTGCTCAATTTTAAGGGTTTTTTTGGTTGTCCTGAGGACAACCAAGAGAGTAGCACATGGTTGTCCCTCAAGAGTTTTGGTTGTCCGGATATTATTTAAACGTGCTGCATGCGCTCTGCTCACGTGATGATCAGTGCTGTGAAGCAAAAGGCCTAATCATGTACATTTTGTACGATGATTTTCGAGATAACGCCACATAATTATGTTGCGTGGGGTTGATAATTCTACTACGAATGAATTGGAATGGAATCTTATCTTAATCGATCTATAAACCACTAGAAATTATAAAATTCTATTCCAATTCAGTGCAGTCGGCAAATGATGTCCTCCATGACAGTTTGTTTATCGAGGCCACTGATCTCTATACTATAGTAACTGGCTGGCGAATTACAAATGACAAATGACAAAGGAGTGAGTGGGCGTTGAGCCAGTACGCGCGATACATGTACATACACGTGATGTTATACATTGTATCAAGTAAGCCAGACAATGCGCCTAGACATGTACGTTTGCAGCGTATTGTGCAACCCTTGCTGTATGTAAAATGAACGTGCGCTCGCTGGTGTACCGCCAACACTGGTATAGAGAGCTCAGGTTATTGATTTTATGGAGGTTGGAGACCGGACAACCACGGAAGCAATTTGTAGTTGCCCGAGAAAAAATCCAGTCGTCACGGACGACCGGACGACTGTTAAAATTGAGCCCTGCCATAATGCTAGCCAAGACGTAGACTGGTCTCCGGCGCTAAACTCGCGATGCATGTCACAAACAATGGGGCCGCAAACCAGTCGGCTCAAGGATAGAGAGCATGTCCAGTAATAAACGTCATCCTATCCAATCACCGTCTTGGACATCATCTCTATTCTTGAACCAACCACTCTAACCAAAGCGTGTACAGCTGTGGCAAGCTACGGTCACTGTATGACACAGTACGTACAGTACATGATAATTTGCCGCGTATATTTTACTTTATTATCTTATCCTTATACCTAGAGAGTTTTTGCAGCCTGTTATTTAAAAGCAGCAGCAGGAGTTTTGCTGTTTGTTCATGTGATGATGTGTACCACTGTGGCGAGTGCTGGGTGAACTTTGACCTAACGTCGGTCGCTGTCGCTGCAGTGTGTTTGCGCCAGTCGCCGCGACTTATGTCGTTACGGTCGGTCGCTGTCACTGCAGTGTGTCTTGGCCTTTACGCGTACGTAGGCTAGTGTTTAAGTGTTCAGAGTGGCTACGCGTCCGGTTACCGGACACCCAGCTCCCAGGCTACGCGTCCAGTCATCCATTTCACACAAGATCATCAGGTGTTAGTAACAAATCGCTGCATGAAAACGTGTGCGTTGCGTTGTTTGTGGTCAATTTCGTACATACTTCGGTTCAAGGATATAAGAGCTGTCCCCAATTCATTTTCACAATGTGCGACATGTGCAAATGTGCAAATCTGGACAGCTCTTATATCATTGGGCCCAGACGTCTACTATTTTATTAAACTGCTTCATAATAAAAACCGCACCAGTGCGTATCGTGTATGTTATGGCAAGTGCCCCAATTCTATCTCACGATTAGGCCATGCCCCCTTTCAAATCGTTGATTCTACTGGATTTACTATTGTTTCAAGAGTTACAAAAACACTTCTTTTTTTGATAAAATACCTAAACGTAAGTATTAATATGGTAAAAATTACTGTTTGTGTTTTTTTTCTGAAAAAATATAGTTGGGTTCACATAAGAAATGGATGGCTGGACATGTAGCCTGGGAGTTAGGCGTCCGGTAACCGGACGCATAGCCACGGCCTTAAATGTTAGCCTGCTAACTTGTATTTTTGCACCCCGGCCCTCATTTTCGCTAAGGTGCTAAACTAATCCAGGGTGCTGTAAACTAGGATGGGGCCTCTGACTGTCTCAACACCAGTTTACCAGGGACAGTGTCGACATGAACTTTAGCCATTCGTCTGACATATATAACGCGCGGGTGCATGCGTGTGTGTGTGTATGTATATATTTGAAAATGTCTTTTCTTTATGCCATAAACAAGTCCCTCTTGTTAAAATACCAATTAGTACCTCCTAGCAACTGTCTTGTGCTGGCACATGTTTCTTTGAAAATATATTATATTCTCTTTCAGGAAACCAGACACGTTTTGGGCAACAACAGGGTTGTTTCCTCAGGAGTTCGTCCTCAGTTTCAGCTCTCCAGTTGCGATATCAAATATCCATATCTATACATACAACTGTAAGCTGTATATTGATTTTTTCATTTATTAAACTGTTTTCATTTTGAATAGTACACCCATAGTGAAATTGTGTTCATAATGATTCTTTATTTTGTTGTCTATAACGTTTAGTTCTACTTTTACCTTCAAACTGTATTATTCCAATTAACTGAAGTTGTTTAGTTTACACTTCTTGTGTTTATGCTCTGTGAATAAAAAGTACAAGTGCAGCAGTCAACACCGTGTTTTGGCAGAATCGTAGTACATTTATGGTACATGTCAGTTTTTAATGTTTAAAATTAAAAGCACCTAATCCTATGTTGGTTTTAGGTCATAAATTAACCAAATGTGTTTTTGGTGTAAACAGCAAACTATACTTGCAACCCAAAAACTATTGCTGTTATCTCTGACCCAGCTGAAAGTTTTTTGGGTTGTCGAAAATATAAAATTCTGGCCATTTAATCTTCTGACTGGACAGAGTATTTAGGTGTTGATGTTGGGTAAATAATTTTGAATTTTTCACCGTGGTGTGGGAAAATAGGAATTGAATTCGTGACAGGATGTTTGCCAGTTACTGTGTCACAATGAAAAGATAAACAGTTGACAATAAGTTGATCAGTCTTATTTTGCACATAGCGAATGAATTTTGTTAAAATTGACAGTGTTATTTGTTTATTTTTTTTAACACCTGCGCTACTAAGAATGGATTACGTTGCACTATTGTAGTAAATTGACACACAAGTAATGGTACACACAAGCTTTTCACTAAAGTGATATTGTATTTGTCTGTAACTGCTACCAAACTGTAAACATTGATATGCATTTTTTTCTTAACGATCTGCAATTGGCTGATTTTAGTGAAGAATATAATGGTGATGCGTAGCACTGAGCATGAAGCTGGGGCTTTTAAGATGCTGACTAAGAAAGGTATGTGTGGTCCTAGTAATGGTTAAATTGCAGCCTCTTGTGGTCATAGAACTACACTGGTGTGCATCCACCACAGTGCACCAATTAAATAGTTGGCCATACTTGCAAGTGGTGCAGATTGTCATGACAGCTATCGCTGATGTTAGCTTCATGTCACTGTCCCTATTTCAGAGCTGGAGAGAACAAGTGGGTCACTGCAGTCACAGCTGATAGAGGTTCCCAAGGCAACAGTAGCACAACATCTGCGCTTCATCATAGAGTCTGCGTGAGTGTCCCTTATATGGTACTACATCGTTATTAAAACTCGATAAACATCGCGTTTTACATACAACCATGGAAAGGGGATAAGATCTGTAATCTTTACTGATGTCAGTATAGGTGTGTAGTAAATTATCTAAAAAGCTATGTAGTGCTTTTCTAATTATTTGTTTGCGCTTACCTTGCAGTTGTGACAATGCTCACACTTCTAATGAAAATTCCTTAAACTAAAGAAATTTCAAACCTGCTGAGAATATTTTTTGAAAATAATAAATTTGTTCAGGATATCTATGGAATTTGTGAGCTTGGAGAATAATAATATTCAAAAAGAAGCGAGAAATAGCAGAGTGCAATAATTTATTTTTATATCCAAAAAATGGAACTCAGTATAGGCTAGTTAGAGATACACCTGTTATATTATAAAGCTAGCTGCCCCAATATAAATAAAAGCGCAGTGAAACAGTGGCATGATACTGCCATATCTCAATTATTGAGAGAGAGTTTGGCCTCAGTCACTAAGTTCTCAAACTCAGTAGACGTAATTATGGCGCCAGCAACTCCAACTCGCGCGTTATTGATTTATAAAAATGCTGATAGGTAGCGCTGTTTACGAAATTAGGTATAATAGTAAGAAGTTTATGGGGGTCCTGCTGTTTCTCCAGTGATTGATTAACCTGACATTTACCTAATTTGTGTTTTCTCTTGCAGGTACGACCACTTTGTAGCTGTATACCGTGTAAGTGTGGATGGGTCACAGATACAAGAGTAACTGTTAACCTAAGGTTAATAAAGAGCTGAACGAACATCCATTCCGTGAAGTCCTGTCATCCCTTTACATTGACCCCAGGAGTTGACGATTCTAGTAAGTCCTACCATACCTTTACTCTAGCAATCACCAATTCTAAAAAAATGTATGCTCTCTCTGCACACTGATCCCTGCATCTATCCATTCCAGAAATTATGTGCTGTCTATTGAAATTTACTTATTTGTATATAAATAGGTTGGCATTAAATATATTTGTAGAGCATTAACGCACATTTACCTTGTAGTAATACACAAATATTTCACTGTGGTAATGTTCAGCATTACCAAAATTTCACGAATAAAGTAACAATTACTTATGTACGCAATGAGCTGAAACTAGTGATACATTGAGAAAAGAATGGATATATTGATACTTGTAACCTCTTTAAAGCGGGGGACACACCATGCGAATTTATTCGCACATCCCGCAGCGAAATCCGCATGGTGTGTCTGCTCAAGCGTGGGCGAATTTCGCTGCGAATTTCATCCGCACCAAAATTCACAGCGATCAAACATGTTTGATATTTTCGCTGCGGACGTGCGGACGTGCGAATATAGACTGGTACCCGTCCCTTCTCACAAGCTCGATATAGGCCTATATCGAGCTTGTGAGAAGGGACGGGTACCAGTCTAGTGCGAATAATGGCCGATTGTTATAATGCAGCGAATCATTGATCAGCAGGCCCGTAGCCAGGGGGGGTTCGGGGGGTTCGAACGAACCCCCCCCGGCCCCAAGCAAAAAAAAATTTTTTTTTTAATTTGCAAGAATTTCACCTCAGGTCGCTCTATTTTAGTGTAATAATTGCAAAATCTCCCGCACGATGGAAATTTGCAAGAATTTCACCTCAGGTCGCTCTATTTTAGTGTAATAATTGCAAAATCTCCATCGTGCGGGAGCGTGAACAGTGAACACCCCCTCCCGCAACCTCCCCCCGCTCGGTCGCTTGGCTCCCTCGCCTGGGGGCGTGTACAGGGGGGGTCCAGGGGACAGTCGGACCCAACCCGTGCTGCGCAGAGAAGCGCATCTGGAGGGTTGTAATTTTTAAAAATTTTTATGGGGGAGGGCTCCCCCCAGACCCCCTTCGCGTGGCTCGCAACTTCGGGTTACGGTTAGACCCCCCTGGTACAAATCCTGTACACGCCCCTGCCGAGCCAATTGCCAACATTGAAAAACGAACCCCCCCAATACAAAGCTGGCTACGGGCCTGGATCAGTATGCTAATCTCGTGACCACATGACTGTTGGAGCCATGGTGGAGCCGTGTGGCGCTAGTAGATCGCGTGTAGTGTGTACGCTGCGGACGTGCGAATAAATTCACATGGTGTGTCCGCTCAATTATCGCATGCGGGTGCGAATATTTTCGCCGCGATTTTCGCTGCGGATATGATCGCCGCGGACGTGCGAATAAATTCGCATGGTGTGTTCCAGGCTTAAAGAAACTTTACAGCAATGATGTATTGTTTCTTTACATGGGCTATCTAACATCAGAGTCATTGATAGACGAGACTATCTCTATCTATGGTTCTATCCTTGGTTAGAATGCAAGAGAAAGTAACAAAACATTCGGATGATACTTGTCGATATGGTCCCCATATTATATTATAACAAGCAAGTTCTGTGAATATCAGTGAAAATCTGATATCCTCATGGTGTTTGTGCAATAATGTGTACTAACAGTATGCATCATTTAATGTTTACTAATTAGCAGCACCTGTTTAGGTGTGTTTAGTGGCTTTTTACAGACATCTGCGTCTTTTGTTCATAAATATAATATATATACTTTTGAATGTGACACTTGATTGGTGTGTTTTAGTTTAAAATTAAACACACCACTGAAACCCCTGCAATAGTAATATTGCTTTATTGGTAAATACTCAAGTAGTAAAATGTTACAGTTGATCATTGTTTGCCTTGTCTGCCAGGTATCTGAGTGCAGACCCGTTACATGTGATATAAATGTGTGTTGATAATTTATTTATTTATTTCTGCATTCGTTTAGTGATGATTGTGTAATAAAAGTTGACAAATTTGTTTAATTAACATAAGCAGTTGCTGTAATGCTTTTATTAGAATACAAAATATTTACGTAGCCTTGTGTGCGTGTGCGTGTGCGTGTGCGCGTGTGTGTGTGCGTGTGTGTGTGTGTGTGCGCGCGCATGATTTATACAAGTAATACATGTGTACTAAACATTTATCATAATTGTCACAGCACTTTCATATAAATTATCATTCCAGGATTTTAAATTCCCACTAACATAATGATAACGCTAATTTATGATAAGTGCTTCCTGCATATATAGCTAACAAATATAAGCTAGCAATATGTTAACAAAATTATACCAACAATGCGCGCAATGCCTTTTGCTCCTGGCTCAATATAATTGCCTTTCATTCCTTGTTGCAATGCCGCGGCCTTCACTCACACTAGTTAGTGTCTTGGCAACGTAAGCTTTGCCGAGCCGGTATACTGCCACTTTGTGTACAACGTGCATTGAGAGACATTGGGTGATAGCATGATAGCGTGTGTGTACGTGTGCATGCTCGTGCACGTGTGTGCGCGTACATGCTCTTGTGCGTGGGTGTGTGTGTGTGTGTGTGTGTGTGTGCGCGCGTGCGTGCATGTGTATGCGTGCGTGCGTGCGTGTGTGTTTGTTTGTGTGCGCGTGCTTGATTCGCTGTTTTCCTTTCAAGCGTGAATTGTACCCCGGTGAGCAGTGAAGGGAAAAACAGCGGCAATAGGGTGAATAGGTGTCGAAAATACACGCAGTTTTCACCATGCAATTCCCCGGTCACCGAAGCGTCATTGTTCTTTGGCGAGCTAATTAATAAAAGCTAATTTAGCTAATTAATGTCTGCGCTAAACGACAGCGGTAGCAGCATTTGCTAGCAATATTCCGAGTGCTTAGGTATATACAAGGAAATGTGATGTATAAACCCTGTCCGGATTGAGGGTTTGGGCTTTAAGCCTAAACCCTCAATCCGGACAGGGTTTATACATCACATTTAACAACTATATAACTTAGCAACTATATAACAAAGTGAAATGCGCAAACATGGAAATGGCGACGATGGTTACCTAACCGTCTATTTCGATTAAAATACATTAATTTACCATCGCGCGTTACCATGTGAATCTATTATAAGCCGCTTATAATAGATTCACATGGTAACGCGCGATAGTAAATTAATGTATTTTAATCTGAATAGACGGTTAGGTAACCATCGTCGTCATTTCCATGTTTGCGCATTTCACTTTGTTATATAGTTGCTATGGCAAGAACTCTAACAATTGCGTAACGATTTCTCACGACACAGTATCGTAATTAAATACCGCTGTCAATACTGATATTCAATCATGTACACATAATACCAGAATAGCGACGAGTAAAACTAGTAGTATAGTAAGAGTTTCAGAACGGAATATAGGACTCACGCCTGCATGCCACGGACAGAAAATTTGCTTGGACATAAATTGCATTAAAATCCGTTGTGCGAGCGGGTTCGGTGTTCGAATATCGTTGCATGCATATCGTTTACAGTATACTGTGAGTAGTGCAAACGTCCTAAAATGGTTTGTTGCGACAAATAGTTGATCTTCTATTCATTCTCCCATCTATCTGCGTCAGTCATCGGGGATAAACCTACGTGTGGGTTCAACCTAGATGTTTTCTCCCTGTGGCACGATCACGGCGTAATCTGCTACCCATGAAGAAAATGTTGCAAATGCAAATATATTCCTATCCAAAATGAAGAACCCGAGGAAATGATTTAATCCGAACACGAACACCCTACTGCTCATCGCCCATAAAATATACTCCGTTTTTGTCAGAAGCTTAACAAGGAACTGCCAGTTTTTCATCAGCAGCTTTGCTAAGAACCGCCGTTTTTGCCAGTAGCTTAGCTATGAACCGCTGTTTTTGTCAGTATCTTAGCAAGGAACTGCTGGTTTTTTTGTCAGTAGCTTGGCAAGGAACTGCTGGTTTTTTTGTCAGTAGCTTAGCGAGGAACCGCCGGTTTTTACTGGTAAAGAACAGGCAGGAACATAATAAATCGTAACAAGTCACGCGGCCGTAAGTTTCGATGGAGTTCGCCTCAGATTAGCTGCTGTTCATCAGCCGACGCAGCAACGTCGTCTCTGTTTACGTCTGTTTATGCTGACCGATGAGTTCCGCTAGGCGCGCCGCTTGCCGGCCGCGTTGCCCGGCAGCGCGTGCCCTAACAGACGCACACACATTGAATCTTTAATGAGAGCCGGCGCGCGCGCAGCTGCGAGCGAGGAAACGTCGACAGCCGTTGTCAAGCGACAGGATAAACAGTGACGTCTGCTAGCATTTTCGCTGCGCCGTTTGACGCAAGTTGTCGAGCCGTCGCAAGTGACACAGATCACGAGCTCACACAGGAAGGACAGCGGCGGGTGAATTATACCGATTTCGCTCGCTCGCTCTCTCTCTCTCTCTCTCTCTCTTTCTCCTCGTGAATCACTGAAGCCGACCCAACTTCGGTTCCTGTCAACGGAAACTTAAGATTAGTGCAACATTCGCCGTAGACCTTTACTAGCAGTACGGTAGATAGCACGCTACGGATGATGGCGTCTTCGGCTGCGGCATCGTCGCCGGCTACCCTGGCGACGACGTCGGTAACGGTGCTGGCGGCACTGGTGGCGCTGCTTATTAGCGGCTCCGTTGACTGTGTAGCGACGACAGAGACGCACGTCAACGTGCTGGAGCTGGGCGTCTACTATGATCAGGCGTGCCAGGATGTGCTTATCGCCAACGGCGTCAAACTCGAAAATATCAATAAATATCATGGACTTCTGCTGAGCCAGGTAGGTGTAGGTTAGCTCTAGTATATAGAGCCACGCGTACAGTTGCCGCGGGCTGCCTCAACTGCCTCAAGGCTCAACTGCTCAAGGCAGGCAGGCCTGCGGCAACTGTACGCGGGCTATAGTACTAGAGCTAGGTGTAGCTGTGCTCGTGCTAGCGGGCGTGCATGCGCTCGTTCGTGCGCGCGTGCGTGTGCTCGTTCGTACGTGCGTGTGCTCGTTCGTACGTGCGTGTGGGTGTCCCCGTGTACGTGCGTGTGGATGCGCCCGTGTGCGTTCGTGTGGGTGCGCCCGTGTTCGCGCGTGCATACGTGCGTGTGAGTGTTCTTATGCTTGTCTTTGCGGGCGTCGCGAATGGGGCGGCATAATACTAATTAATCTGATCTACTCACGCCGTGGCCCATTCGCTGAGCCATTATCGTTCACCTGCGCTCGACTGCGCATCTCCGTGCCATGTGTGTCAGTCAGTCTGCCTTCCATCCAACCTTTTATGTTGTCGGTCCCGGCGGTACGTCTGCGACCGCGATTTCGAGGACCTTCTACCTCTCCCTCAACAGTCGCCATCACCAAGCGCTCTTTTCTAGCGGCAGTATTTCCTGATTTCCCTTTTCTTCAGCTGGTCCGGTAGCGCTTATATACACTCTACGACAAAAGATTTACGTGATATATATATATATATATGTATTATATATATATATATATATATGCCTTACGACCGGCGCGATAGATGGACTGGAAGGGGCGCGGGGTAAAATAATGGCGGAATGTTGAGTTGTTGATATATATATATATATCGCTGCGCTTACTTTAGGTACATCAGCTGTTTCAACGCGCCGACCTAGAAGAAGCAAAATTAGCAATCGCACCCCTGTTCGTGGAGAAAATCCCATCCTCTGTGGTGAGTATCGTGATACGTGGTCGCCATCTTTTATTTTCATTAGTCCAGTCATTGGTCATCTAAAATGATACATGCTTAGTCACTTTTTCAAGAAAAAGTATTCTATAATTTACTGGTATAATCTCGTTCCACACAGATAAAGAGATACGGAAATATTATTATGAATATGATTATAATTACATTCTGTTATAATTATAAGCGAAACCATATAGATATCATTGTGATCGCGTATGAATTGGTAGGGAAATAAGTAGCAATCTTCAGTCCTATGATCGCGTACTTTTGCATACCTATACACCAGGAGTGGATAATAGATAATCTCTATTATGCACTCCTGATAATGCACACGTAATTGAATAATCCGCTTATACTGCTTTCATGTCAGTATCGGTGTGCAGCAATGACTACGCAATAGTTATGTGGTGTATACTATTTTAAACGAATAACCTGGTGCCATAATAACACGTTGCAGGAATGAATAGACACATTGCATTTATTAATGATTAAATTTATTTGTAATAATAAAATAATATAAAACCGTAACCTTGAATTGAAAAATTGATTAAATCTGCAGTTAAGTAACTTGGCGGCGAATCCCTCCGAGAGTTTCTTATGGGGTAATTTCTCTGAATGGGCGGCCGATCAGAGCACCATGGCGCAAGTTGCCTGGGACTTTACTATACTTTTCACTGGGTGAGTATGTAGGTTACAAGTATTATAAGTATAGATTTACTACTATCAGTACCGACGTGCAAACACGCGCGCACACGCACACGAACGCGCGCACACACACACACAGATACACACACATGCACACGCACGCACGCACGCACGCACGCACACACACAAACAATTGTTTCTCTTACGGTAGGGGTGCATCTCCCGCCACTATCTTTTTTTATTATTATTATCTCGTCTTCCGACTCCTTCCCGCTCTCTCTCTCTCTCTCTTATACCTCTGATTATATCAAGACCCGTTCGCCTTATAATATTGGGTTTGTTGCGCATATACTCCGTCTCCAATAAACATGCATACACATGTGCACACACGCGCACGCGCACGCGCACGCACGCACGCACGCATGCATGCGTTGCCGCGGCGGACCCGATGATGGCAACTGAGACGCTAATTCGCGATCACACACGTCATCATGATCGAACTATATTTTGCTCTCGAACAATAACTGGGAAACAAACGCACGTGAATTGTCCAGTAGCCATGCAGTTGAGCTAGGCGCCCCAGATGACAATCATATATATCACCAGGCCTCATCCGTCATCGACCCTGAAAGCGGCGCTTGCTGCTCGCTTCGATCACAAATGAAATGAGGCGCGTGCCTAAAAATTGCCAGCTTTGTTAACGAGGTTCGCTGACCTGCCACCTGCTACTGCATCACAATAGCTCATAGCTGGCAGGCAGGTGGCTACAATGCCTGTAAATGCCTGTAAATGCGTCTAGAGACACTTGTATCATTATTATTTAATTGCGCAAATGTTATAGTTTTGTAATTGGTGTACAGCTCGTTGAGGCACCGCCATAGCATTGCGATGAGGTGTTTAACGAAAACTCTGTTGACTGTTGTTATTAGAAACACACTCGGTGGCAAGCTTGACACACAATCGGACAATATAATCAATAATTTCGACATTGCCAACCGTCTCTATCAGAGGCGCCGGAAGTGGGGGGCAGGGGGGGGGCGGCCGTCCCTCCAATCCAAAAAGTGTGGGGGGGGCAAAATCAAAAAGCCCCCCACCCCAAAAAGAAGAGTGGGAAAGAAAAAATAAAATGTATGAGCTAAGACTTGTTAATTCTAACGTTCAAAAACTAATTTATACAGCCATTTTAAGTTTTCGCTGCGCGCTTTGCATGATTGACGCTCACGTCGCACACATGCGCTCACGCACACACATCACACACATGCGCTCACGCACACACATCACACACACACGTCGCACACATCACACACACGCGCTCACGCGCTCACGCACACACACATCGCACACACGCGCTCCCGCACACACGTCGCACACACGCGCTCACGCACACACGCCGCACACACGCGCTCACGCACACACGTCACACACACGCGCTCACGCACCCACGTCGCACACACGCGCTCACGCACACACGTCACACACACGCGCTCACGGACACACGTCGCACACACGCGCTCACGCACACACGTCACACACACGCGCTCACGCACACACGTCGCACACACGCGCTCACGCACACACGTCACACACACGCGCTCACGCACACACGCCGCACATACGCGCTTACGCACCCACGTCACACACACACGCCGCACACACGCGCTCACGCACCCACGTCACACACATGCGCTCACGCACACGCGCTCACGCACACACGCGCTCACGTCACACACGTCACACTGACTCACACACACGCGCTTACGCGCTCACGCACTCACGTCACACACACGCGTTCACACACACACGTCGCACACACGCGCTCACGCACCCACGCCGCACATACACACACGTCACACACACGCGCTTACGCACACACGCCGCACACACGCGCTCACGCACACACGTCACACACACGCGCTCACGCACACACGCCGCACACACGCGCTCACGCACACACGTCACACACACGCGCTCACGCACCCACGTCGCACACACGCGCTCACTCACACACGCCGCACACACGCGCTCACGTCACACACGCGCTCACGTCACACACATGCGCTCACGCACATACGCGCTCACGCACACACGTCGCACACACGCGTTCACGCACACACGCCGCACACACGCGCTCACGCACACACGTCACACACATGCGCTCACGCACACACGTCGCACATACGCGCTCACGCACACACGTCACACACATGCGCTCACGCACGCACGCGCTCACGCACCCACGTCGCACACACGCGCTCACGCACACACGTCGCACACACGCGCTCACGCACCCACGTCGCACACACGCGCTCACGCACACACGTCGCGCACACGCGCTCACGTACACACGATAAAAAAATCGTGAGCCCCCTTAGGTCTTTGCCCCCCAATCCAAAACTGCTTCCGGCGCGCCTGGTCTCTGTCACTTACGCGTACTCACTATTGATCTCGATCGCTCACGCTTAAAGTGTCTACGTCACGAATCTCCAGAAATTATTTAAAAAAATATAGTTGAAACCTTATTTTTGTATTTTTTTTGCATCAAAAGTTAGTACTAACGTTACTAAATATATCCTCAAACTCTCACTCTATAAAAATGTTTTTACGTTGATTAAATTTGCAAAAATCTTGACGATTTGAATTAGTGTTGTCTAACACTATTTATATATTAATGCCTGCTGTTGGGGGCACTATGCTCTCATATAATTAGTGCATGACGTGATAAATCGCTGCAATCTCATTGGATAACGCAGCAGGCACTATGAAGCGATAGTGCCCGCCTGAGCGGGCACTATCGCTTGCGCGACGCATTGTTATTATAACGCATTGTGTTTACGTCACGAATCTCCTGCGTCTGGGCGTCACGCAAGAGTAATTTCGAACGGCGGTTGTGTTTGTGTCGAACGTTTTGTTACATCGAATGCACCGGCAAATTAGGGAGTATAAAGAAGATAATTAACACAACCGCCGTTCGAAACTCTTCAGTCTCTTGCGTGGCGCCCAGACACAGGAGATTCGTGACGTAAACACAATGCGTTATAATAACAATGCGTCGCGCAAGCAATAGGGAGATGCCCTTCTTCTCAATGTCATATACTTGTTCTAATCTTATAACGTTATCTGCACTCACAATCATGTCACATTTAATATGCCTAATTACGAAATGTGTCTTGTTGCATGATAGTATAATGAATAAATAATGAATCTGTGCATGTATAATTGATCTAATCTCGTCTCTATTTTGTGATATTTTCAGAATAGATTTCAGAGACGCCGATGGATTAGAATCTAATGGTATGTGTTTGCGTGTGTGTGCGTGTGTGTGCGTGTGTGTGCGTGCGTGCGTGCGTGCGTGCGTGCGTGCGTGCGTGCGTGCGTGCGTGCGTGTGTGTGTGTGCGTGTCTGCGTGTGCGTGCGTGTGTGTGTGTGTGTGTGTGTGTGTGTGTGTGTGTGTGTGTGTGTGTGTGTGTGTGTGTGTGTGTGTGTGTG